CCTTATTTGTTTGACTGTGCTTATCACAGGTGTGGACAATTTTATATTTATATTGCTGAATCACCTCTCTAAAGTATTTTGACCTTTCAGTAGGTTTTGAAAGGCCTCTCTTTTGCTTTTTGTCTGGGGCTGAAGTCTCATTCAAAAACAGGTATGACTGTTTACCAAAGGAAAAGTGTATAGGAGGAGGATGAAATGATAATAAATCTAATTTTTAAACAGTGCCAGTGTTTTCACAGTTAGTTAAATGAATCAAAGAAATATTTCGATTTTGAGGATTAAGAAATACTGTCCTTCATATTCTTTTCAGACGACTTGTGTGTCTTTCAGATGTCTTTTTCAGATGACCTGTTTTTCCTCCCATAACCCATCATGTAATCACTTGAACACAATAGGTATTTAATAAGTCTGTGCTGACTGATCTCTAATAATAAAATAAGCAGCTCTCTGAAATGCCCTTCACTCTTCCTCTTTGCATGGGAGATTTCTTTTATGATTTAGTTCAAATATCACCTCTGAAATTATTCCCAGCTGTTATGGTCAATATGAATATAGGCCTCTGTCATTTGGGTAGTTCATACCTATTTTCCATTTTATTGCCATTATTTACTTATACATCTGTTTCTCATCCTTGCCTTTTATCCACCAAGGAGCAGGGACTTTGGCTTATTCATCTTTGGTGTCGCCAGTGCCTTGCATGTACCTGCCATAGCTGAGGTGCTCCAGACTTGTCCAGCAAATGACTGTGTTACAGGGAGAAAACTCATTCTATAAGCACACTGTAGGCTTTGGATGCCAAACCCTGCTCTCTAAAGATTTTTGCCTCTACAGTTTTCCTGTAGTCAGGATACCACTATCAAGTAAGCCATGATTCATTGATTATGGCTTTTTGATCCAGCCAGTAGTGATTAGTTTAGAGGAAGATTAGCCTTTTTTCCTATACCCAGTTCTCTTAAATTATGAATAATACATAGTTGACACTCTATATATTTGTTAAAATACAGATGTCCACCAAGATGTTAACAATGGCCATATTTGGGTGGTAGTATTTTTGTTTAACTTTATTCTTCAAACATAATTATTTCATTGTTTGAATTTTCTATTTCAGGATATATATTAGGAAAAAAAACTTTCCAATTTTTAATAGATGGTACGTGAGGGAGACAATTAAGAGAAATAAATGCTTTGATATAATTTGGAACCAGTCAGGCCTGGATCAAGATGAGCCAGTCTGCAGGTTGGTAACAAATCTCACTTGTTTAGAAAAGTAAAGGTCTGTTTGCTCTAGGTTGACTGGGACCCTTCCACATCCAGTCTGTCAGATCCAAGCCTCCTCCATCTCAAAGTGGCTTCCAAAAGTGCTGTAGCCAAGAAAGGGAGAGATTGAAGGACCAGCCAGCTCTCACCTGGCAGGGCACATGATACGTGCCTTGCCCAAAATGACTCCCAAGGCCCCAAGCTTAGTGCAAAAGAGAGTGTAAAATGCAGGGAAGCATTGGAATCCAGCACACGGTGAGCACCAGTTGTCTCTGCCAACGTGACCGTAACTCTTTTTGTTTTTCAGTTACTGTAATGAATGTATGTTGGATCCAGACTGTGGTTTCTGCTACAAGATGAACAAATCAACTGTCATTGACTCCTCCTGTGTTCCAGTTAATAAAGCATCTACAAATGAGGCAGCGTGGGGAAGGTAAGTGACTCATTACTTACCATAAGAATATACAATAAAATTTCAAAATAAGGCTTATGTTTAAGTTTTCAGAGTATCTGCACTTACAATGGTACTTCTAAACTGGCCTTCATAACTACTTTACTTTGCAGCATGTACTGGTGATATTGAGTGCAAAGCATTGCCATGTGTGTGTCACAAACTCAGAGTAAAAAGCACTCAGGCCTAGACTTTTGGAGATCCAGATTTCAGACCCAACTCTGCCTAATAAGCTACAGGAGCCTGGATCTTTAGTTTTAGGCAGGTGTTCCCAAATACTGCCAAGGCAGTTTCGCCCACTGTGTATTGTCGATGCTGTATTTCAAAACTTCCAAACTTCAGTGAAAGACAGAAAATTGTAAAGTCAAAATGAATCAGCATCACATTAAATTCTTTTGTTGAATTACTTCTTTCCTAGAGTCCTTTTCCAGGGTTCAGTGAAATTAAGCAAAATAAGAATAAAAGTTGGTAATCACTGGCTTGGAATCAGTCTGGGAGGCTATAAACCTTTCTCTTCTTGGTAAAACACACTGACTTATAATATACACGTAAATGAAATATTTGTATGGAATAAATACTCTCCACATTTATGAACTCAATAGTCATATCCATAGACACATAAAATGTGTAAATGTTATTTGACATGGTTTTAACCTCTTTTGTGCTTTAAATTCCCATAAATACGCTCTTATCCTCTCCACCTCATGGTACTGAGGCAATGAAATTTGCAATAAAGTACTTGTATCTCCTAGGAGGTCCTAGGACCTATAAAGTGTAATGTATTAGTATTAATCATTATGCTGTTCTCATTAATCATTTTATTAGAGAATTACTCCAAAGGACTAGAAGAAAATTATGTGTTAGTTGAGTAAAATCCCAGACCACATTTTAAATACACAAATTACAAAGAAGTATATAAAAGAAATGAAATTAGTATTTAAAATGAACACTTAACAGAGTTTCTTTTAAAAATACCCAGTGTATGATTTTCATCTGCCAAACTTGATTAGTGAGTTAATTCATTAAATATTTCTGGATATACTAGTTCACAGCTTTAAACCCTTAGGGTTTTGTTTTTTCCAGTAGGAAAAAAAACTGAAAGTTACTAGTCTAAAATGATGAACATATTATAAAATCTGTTAAACTAGTAAATATATGTAATTTTCTGTATTTCACAGAATTAATTTATAAACTTATTGGAAATCTCTACTAATAGTAAGGGGGCACTAAAATTAGATACTTCTCTCACCCTCAGTTTAGAAGGGTTACTGGTCGGAGACCTCAAAACAGGAGTTTTGTTCTTTTTGTGGATAATACATTGTACAACTTTTTAGTGGAAACGCTTATTAATTCATTTCAAAAAGATTAATTTAACAACTTATTCTTACATTTTATTTATATTTTTATACCATCATCCCTTGACTGCACATACTATTAGAGAAAAGTGAGGCACAGGTAATACCTAAGTAGGAAAAATAAAAATAACTAAAAAAAAAACAACCACAAAGAACTTTGATGGTCATAGTATATTCTTAGAATAGTCTCAAACTCTTTACAAAAAAGAAAGAAAAAAACACCCATGTGTTCTTACTCTTCCCCATGTGGAGCGACCGCTCTCCTTCTGGCTTGGCCATTGCTATTGGTCACCTCAGTCTTTGCTAGAAAAAGAGCAAAAAAAGCAATATGTGTTCACCGTGAAAAAACTCCTAGAACAGATTTTCTATTTGTAGGTAAAATAGCATTCAGTATATTTTTGTTGGTAGATTATATACAATTACCTGAAATGAAACTCTCAGGGCAAAATCTGCCATTACCCTCGATTCACATCTGAGGTAAACTATTCACAGATATTTCAAGGTCAAATATCGAGGCAGTTTGTAGTCATATATCCTGATCTCTAACCGTAGCTGTTTTAAAAAGATGTCAGGCGGAAAAGTGACACCATTTATGATGGAAATGGTACGATAATTTTGATAAACTGAATTGTCAATATAATTAAAACCATTTGTCCATATAATCAACTATAACGATTAGTTGGAAACAAAACTTTAAAAGTCCATCAGTGTGCTTTTCTATATCTCTGTAGTTAAGTTTGAATGAAAAAACTTTTTAAAAAATAATTTAGCAGACATCTAGAAAATGTAATAGACTGAGCTGATGCAGGAAAACTTCCTCTTGCTCATTACGCCCTGCCTCCACACCTCCAACATGCTTCCCACACACAACAAATGCAGGTTTAATGCACAGCTGAACTTGAGCAAAATGCCCACGTGTCACAAACAAGAACAAGAGTGGTGAGCCCACATAGGAATGCCAGAAGAGAATGCAGGCCTCAAGGCTAAGAGGTTGGGGTTTTAAGTACTGAGGAAGATAAAGCTCCAGGTCTTGCCTCTGGAGCTATAAAGCACCATCCAGGCTCTGAAATAGGGACAAGAAAAACTCTATCTAAATAGGCTGGTCTGGGAAAACTACCCACTTCTCTGTTGCTCACTTGGGACCTCGAGTGGAAAGCAAAACCGAGAGCCTTCCCTGTGGGGAGTGTATGTTCTCATTTCACACTGCCTTTCTGAAGTGGGGACCATGAGTTGAGAAACATGAACACTTTTAGTTTAATTTAATTTAATTTAATTTTAGTTTAATTAAGTTAAAAGTGGGTCCTAAACTGGAGACATCCATGGAGCCACATTAGGAATAGACATGCAGTCATCAGAACCCAGTACACATGAGACGTCTGTGGAAAGCAACTCTTCTTAAATACAAAAGGACAGTCAAAAAGTACAAACTATACCACTTAATGAAGGTGAGAAAGCCACCAGGTGTGACAGATGGACAAATGAATACCTAAAGAATCTTCATTACAAAACAAAAATTTGAAAGAGACTTTAAATAATATGCTTAAAGGAAAACAAGGAAAAATATGATTTTTTCAATTATACCAAAAGGTGTACACTTATGATTTGTGCAATATACATGTAGATCTATATATACAACATATATGTTATAATTTAGCAAATTTTGCAAAAACGAACAAAACTTGGGAAACTGATGTTCTAGATAAACAATATAGAATGTGGTATAGGAACTTTTAGAACAAAAGCCCTCTAAGGACCTTTTTATTGGTTTTCTTGGGAGGGGGGAGTGTTTTTGTTTTTTGTGTTTTTTTTTGGAAGAAAAATGATATTATAATTAGATTTTCAATTTGTTAAATATAGATGTTAAAAATGTAAGTGTAATCTCTTAAAAATATGAAGTATTACAGAAAGAAACAAGACAATCAAAATAATGAAGGCAGAGAAACCTATGCTTAAGAGAAATCACACATACACACAAAAAAAACCCCACAAAATTAAATCTAAATGTAACTACATTATATTAGAAAATAAACCAATTGAACATATCAAAGACAAAGATTCTTATGTTGAATTTTTTTAATATAGTTGTATGCTGTTTATAAGATACAATCATAGGAAGATTAGAAATCAAAGGAATGAAAAGATTAGATAAATGCCAAGTTAAGAAGACAAAAAAATAGCAGAGATTAGAGAATTTGGAAAATTTATAAGCTTGTTATGAGCTAAATAATGAATAGAACATTTCATTCTTTTGAAGCAAACAGAACACTTGTGAAAATTTACTATGTTCAAGCACAAAGAATAAATTCAATAAATTTGTGTAGATGTACATATATATTTCAGTAAATTCTAAGTAAATCCAAATAATATGCAGTACATGTTCTCTAACCAAAATGCAATACAAACTGCAAAAAATAGAAAGATACTATCACCCGTTCTAGTTTAATTTGGAAACTAAAAATAACACACAGAGAATGGGTTAAGGAGAAATCATAAAGTTTAGAAATAGAACATAGAGTAAGCCTGTAGCGTAAGCAGGGGATGGAAATTAAGATAAAAGGGGGCGTGGAGAATACAAAGCAAAAAAGTACTAGAGAAGATCAAAAAACAAAAGTTGGTTCTTAGAGAGGACCAATAAAATGTAGAAATCACTGGCAGTAATTATCAAGAAGAGAGAAAAAGCACAAATACTATTTAGAATTTTAAAAAAAGGAATATAATAGATAGTAAAGATTTTTAAAATTGTAAGAGAATACTGTGAATAATGTTCTCCAGTGCATTCAAAAACAGGTAAAATGGACGGTTTTCCATTTTCCAAAGATATAACTTTCCAAAACCAACTCAGAACCTCTGTGAAATAAGTGTGATTTCTATTTCCCATTTTACTGATGAAGACAGTGATGCTTAGAGGTTCTGAATGATTTTCCTCAAAGTCAAATGTCCAGTAAGTCTACCTCTTTTAGGGGAGCAACAACTGAGTCATAGAAAGATGCACATTTTAGATTCAGATAGTTTGAAATTTGGGCTTTTAACATTTACCTCATAAGTGACACTAGGACAGCCTACTCCATTCCATATCTGTATCATGGGAATAATATAATTGCTGTGTTGAACAATGTGGTTGTTATGAAGATTAAATAAGAGCATATCCTAAGATAATTGTAAAAATGTAATGACCTATGCAAAACCATTCTGTACTAATTTTTCTTTTTTTCTTAGATTTGTCAATCACATGCTCTCTATATTAGAATAAGGACTTCCTGATCGATAAATGCATTCGTATACTTTTTATATATGTATCTGCATCCATTCATCCATCCACCTCCATACCTCCTGGCTCTCCATATACACAAAACCATAAATAATCTATTCTGGAACTTCAAACCTCCTGACTATTTAAAATAGTATTGCAATTGCTAATTGCTTTCTTAATGTGCTGATTCAGTATTTGTTTCCTATAATACAACATTTTAGCTCTGTAATTAAAAACACCAAAATAGCTAGATAGATTCCCTATTTGGCAACTCATTGTTTATCGTATTCATTCAGCAGAGATATTTTTCTCAAAGCCGCACTCTGATACAACACCCAGCCTGTTTTCCCAGCCTTTCATCACTCTCCCACGCAGAA